AAGTGAAAGAAATTACACACCAAAACTCTTGGAACGTATATACCTTGAGTATGAACATATGGGGGGAGTTATGGGGTTTTATATTTAACCATAACTTCTACTGGGAGTACAGGACGCTGTATTTTCCTTTTTATTTATCTTATGCGCAGGACGTTCAGTCACTTCATGTGACATTTGCCTACCCGGTTAGCCCCCAGTATAGTTTACCTCAATTTATTTGAGGCAGGGATTTGGTTGGAAACCCGTTCGATGTGTAATCAAAATTAAATGAACATTGGTATTTGTCTAGTTAGGTGTTGAATGTTTTGTTTGCGTGTAAATAGGTGCAACACGGTAAGTTGTGTGATGATAGGATGAAAGCATGTTAGTGTGTTTTTATTTCGCTTATGTACTCAGCATTGCTGATTGTGTGTTTGTTTGGCCTTGTCTTTACCTTGGCCCTACGACGACCCATTTTTAATGGCGAGTAGTGGGACAAATAGAGAGAAGCTTTTCAGGTGATGAAGCATTTTCATGAAGGGCATGAGTGAAGAGTGAATCATGCTTAGTTCTCATAGGAATATGATGTGTTTTATTTGCTTTGAACATTATTTATTTTATTTTGCTCATGAGACTAACACAAAGGGTTTTAATATCGTTTGGTTTAAAGGGCCTACAATGGTTTCGAGTTGTAGGTTGACTTTGTTTGACTTTTAAAGTAGACTTGTTTTAAATGGTTTTTTTTTTAAAGATAGTCTTCCGCTGTGTGTGAGTCTTTGATATTTGTCTTAGCCGCTTTCACGGTGGCGATAATGTCTTAGATTTTCCTATTTCGTATTTTAAAAGGGCAAATTTGGTATTTTATAGGAAAGGAATTTCAAGGGTGTTAGCCATGACTTAAACAAAAAAAAAATTAAAAAAAAAACAAACAGATGTATAAGTACCAAAAAAAAAACAACATTTACTAATTTAAATTATACTTCGTTTATACAATACATATAAGGGAAATCAGAACAGCAACATTTACCAAAAAAAAAAAAAAAAAAAAACAACAGCATCTTTTACTTATTATTTTTAACTATTAGAATATTTGTTAGATTTCATTTTAATTTTTCCAATGAGCAACTGCATTATCTCCGAGCCTACAACAGAAGTAACAAGTGACATTTTCTATGACATACAGCTCGAATATAAGAGTAAAGATACTCATAACGTGGGCTCTATAAACCTTACGAATCAATTAATTCTGGGCTCTACAAACCTTTAACCATACGAATCAAGTATCATTAAAGAATTAAATTTTGTTCAACACAGAATTCTTGCTGTAAGTTTCATTGCAAAATAAGCACAACTACGCCATAATAATTTGAGCAGCTTGAAAAAACAATATACAGCAGGATTTAATAAAAGGGTAACACTACTGCCCTTACACATCAACAATAATCAAAACCCAAATCAAATTCATTGTGCATAAATAAAATTCAGAAAAATAAATCACAAATTTCAGACACGTACCTTAAAACTTTCGAGGAAAGCCCACAATATTCGGGATTAGAGTTTGAAGGTTGAAATGGTCGCTGTTGGTTTGAAGCTAGATGAACAAACAATCACAAAATAGATGATAATCACAAAATAGGTGAACAGATTTCACCGAATTAAAGTCACCGAATTTCACCGGATTTTCAATGCAAAACCCAAAAAATTTCACCCAAATTTAATAGAAACTAGGAGATAGATTAATCGCAAAAAAAAAAAAAATATGGATGAAATGAGTATGAGTGTGAGGTGGTATGAATGTTTGAGGGTATGACTTGAGAGATTGAGAGGGAAGAAGAAGAGGCACCGCTAAATGTATTAGGGTTACCAGCTTATACTCTAGGTTTGGTTTTTACTTTTTAATGAAATCCAACGGTTGTTTTACTTGTTTACAATCTAACCGTTCCTTCGTTCATATTATTTTATGTTTAATTTTTTTTAATGTGTGGGTGATAATCATCTGGAAAGTTCCTTTTTTACAATCAACGGTAGTATTTTTTTACAATCCAATGGTAGTATTCTTTTTGTTTTTTCCGCGGTCATTATGATCGTTGATTTTCAAGATATGGATATTCTGAACTTCTGATTTTTTTTTCTGTTTATTTCTTTTCTTATTTTTTTAACTATTTTTTTTTTAAGTTTATCAAACAAAATAATTTTCCAAAAAAAAACCAAGTAAAATATTATAAATATATATGTATATATTTATTACAAAAAAATATTTATATATGTATATATTATTTCCCATAATTCTATTATTAATTTTTTATTATTATTATTATTATTATTGATATTTTCGAGGTAAATGCGATTTCTAGTTTATCTTAATTGCAAAATGTAACTTTAAACGATTCTTATTTCGTTGTACATTTGTACAGTTGTACTATATAATGGTTTCGTCACTTTTGTGACTTTCGTCCATTTAGCCTTTCAGGCTATTTGAGTGTGAGTAATAATCTAAATAAACTAACAAACTAATCCATTTAACATTTTAACCTTATGTAACTTATAAATTGTAAGAACGCAATTGTTTGGAAATTGAAATTGATTCAATATGACATAGTTAATGTATATCAGTATATGTATATCTTTATATGTAATAAATAATAATGTATGGTACCATTGGTATCATACTATCATTGGTATGTACATATAATCGATAAACATATTTGATTATTAAAACTTAAAACACTTCATGATGATCTAATTAAATATTTATACTTCCTCAATTATTGATTTATCGTATTCAAAGTATCAACTCATCAAATCATGGTCATGACGCGATATTTAAAGCAATCAAAACAAGAAGCTGATAGCTTGATAATATTTGATAATGAAATAATATACATTAATATCTTATAAATTTGTAATAAACTAATACTTCGTATCTAATAAACAACAACAAGAGTGTAACCAAACTTAAAACATAACATAATAACATGATATAAAATAAATGAGGATTTGTGTAACTGTATATAATCCGATGTGTGAATCGATTTATCGTATTCAAAGTAGCAACTCATCAATTCATGGTCATGACACGATCTCTAAAACAATCAAACAAGAAGTTGATAGTCTGATAATATTTGATAATGAAACAATAATACATTAATACCTTATAAATTTGTAATAAACTAATATACTAATATGATAATATATTAATATCTAATTTACAACAACAAGAGTATAAGCAAACTTGAAATATAGAATAAATGAGGATTTGTATAATTGTATACAATCCAATGTCTGAATCGATTTATCATATTCAAAGTAGCAACTCATCAAACAATGGTCATGACGTGATCTCTAAAACAATCAAACAAGAAGTTGATAGCCTGATAATATTTAATATGAAACAATAATACATTAATAACTTATAAATTTGTAATAAACTAATATACTAATATGATAATATATTAATATCTAATAAACAGCAACAAGAGTATAACCAAACTTGAAATATAGCATATAACATGATATAAAATATATGAGGATTTGTGTAATTGTATACAATCCGGTGTCTAAATTGATTTATCGTATTCAAAGTAGCAACTCATCAAATAATGGTCATGACGCGATCACTAAAACAATCAAATAGGCAGCTGATAGCCTGATAATAATTGATAATGAAAAAATATTACATTAATAACTTATAAATTTGTAATAGACTAATATACTAATATGATAATATATTAATATCTAATAAACAACAACAATAGTGTAACCAAACTTGAAATATAACATATTAACATGATATAGAATAATTGAATAATTAAGGATTTGTGTAATTGTATATAATCCGATATGAACCGAACCGGCTTTGAACCGGGTAAACCCGCCTCTAAACCGACCCATTTTGAACCGATCCGACAATAACTCGAACCGATGAACCGAACCGACAGAACCGGGTAAACTAGTCCATGAAATGACCCATTTCAAACCATCCGATAATGACCCACACCTATATGAACCAAACCGGCATTGAACCGGGTAAATACGCCCTTGAACTCACCCGTTTCAAACCGATCTGATAATGACCCAAACTGCTTATAACCCGAATCGACATTGACCCAGGTAAACCTGCCCCTGAACCGACCCGTTTCAAATTGATCCGATAATGAACCGAACCGTTTATAAACCGAACCGCCGTTGACTCGGGTAAACCCGCCCCTAAACCTAGGGGTAAGCAATGATCTAGGGTACCCGGTACCGGACCCGGAACCGGTTAGGACCCGTCGGGTCCGGACCCAGAACTGGTCTCACCGGTTCCGGGACCGGGTCCAAAATTTCGGACCCGGTTGTAACCGGTTGCGGTTCCAAATCCTAAAATTTTGGACCCGGTACCCACTGGGTACCCGGTTGTATATGGTATGTGGATTGTTTGTGTTTTTAGAAAACTAAAGAGTTATGTACATCCCATTTTTATTTCTAAGTCCAATTGCTTATAAAACTCTCAACCCACTATCAAACAAAACCCTAAAACTTCTAGATTTTTCTCTTCGCTCTACTATACCGGTTACCCAACATATATTGTACAAAATATATTTAAAAAAACAAAAATATGTTGAACGTAACTAATTAGTAAAATAAAAAATAAAAAAAATATTAATATTTAATATAATTAAAATAGCTTAATGTATATAAAAATATAAGTATTAAATGCTAAAAGTAAAAATACACCAAAAAAATATTATGATTTGTATTATATTTCACCACTTATATATATAAGTGGGTACCCGGAATCGGAACCGATATCTGGTGGAACCAATTCCAATTCCTAAATTTTAGGACCCGGTTGTACCGGTTCCAATTCCGGTTCCAAATTTTAGGACCCGGTCCCAACCAATTCCGGGTCCAGATCCTAAAATTTTGACCGGGTACCCGGTTTGCTCACCCCTACTTGAACCGACCCGTTCCAAACCGATCCGATACTGAATCGAACCGTTTAATAATCGAAACGCCATTGACCTAAACGAATTCAATCTGCACCAAAATAAACCGAAACCGAATCGAACCGATCCGCCGGCTAAATGAAATAATTTCAACCCGAACCGCTTCAAACCGAACCGATTCAAACCATGTCTAACCGAACCGCGAAACCGAATTCATACCCCTGCTCTCTTCTCTCCTCTCTTTTCTACGCTCATCAATTTTTTTTTCTTCCATTTCCATTTTCTCTCTCATCCTCTTCCACCTATTCCTCAATTGAAGCAACTTCAGAGGTAAGATGGTTTCTGTTTGGGGTTTTCGCTCAGACCTAAAATCAAGTTTTTAGTAATCATTCTACGCTCATCGTTATTTCTTGAAACTGGAAGCAACTTTAGAGGTAAGATGGTTTCTGTTTGAGGACTTAGACCGCAAATTGTCATACTTGGCAAATTAGACCGCGCAAAAATGACAATTTGGTAATCTAGGTAATAGGGTTTTTTTTGCCTATTTAGGGTTTCGATTTCTTCAATTTGATATTTTGTTCTTTGTTCTTTGCTTTTGATATTTTTTTTTTATGTAAAAAATGTCCACTTGTAGGATCCTGATGGGTTTGGTGTAACTGGACTTAAAAGAGGAGTTAAAAATGAAGGAATTTCTCCACAGATTGAAGAAAAAGGAAGCCCTTGGGGGTTTCAAATATTGAATCAATGGAAGCTAATGCTGACCAATCAGCTAAATGGCACGATCCCAAATGGACCTGTTTTAAGGTTGATTTTTCTTTTTAATGATTCAAAATTTGTGTTCTTATCTTCTTTATGGCCTCTTGTTATTATGTTATTTACATTTTTTGCTATTTATAGACTAATAGTCTTTAAATTATGTTGTTGCTAACGATGATTTCGCATAGCAAAATACCATTTTCCCTACAACATTTACTATTGGGAGAATTATTTTTATTATGAAGGAAAACTATTTCTTTTCTTATCAATTTTTATGGTTTATTTTTTTGGTGTAGGAATTGAGCTTAAAGTTTGAATCTTGGATGGAGTGGTTCCTATGGGTGTAGATGTTGCCATTGATCTTCCGGGGCTTTTGTACCATCAGGTCAGCTTTTATTGTTAATTTTTGATGGTATGAATCCAAATTGGGCTATTATGGAGCATATACTATTTTCGTCTTTGATACATTTTTGTCACTTAATAGCACTTTCATGTTTTTTCTTGTAAAAGTCTTTTGCCTCCGTTTTGTTGCATTTGTTGAAAATGTTAATGAAAGTGATTTCAGTTTTTGATCTTTTTAAAGCTTCGAGCTGTTATATGATATTCTTGTCCTGATTTATTCAAGTGAATTGTTTGTAATTAATAGACTGAAATTAGATGGTGAGTGGTGCATCCATTGGTGAGTTCTTCTCTATAACTACGGCTTCTTAAAGTTTATGTACCAATTGTAGTATCAATCAATTGTATTGCTAGCAATAGAGTGAAATGATGCTGTAATGTGTTTTTTTAGTGGACTTTTTTGTGTATCGGAAACTGGCAATAGAGTGAAATGAAGCCTATTTCCGTAGCATTTGAGAGTTCATGTTCATAGTTGCAACTTTGACTCTTCGTTGTTGTCTGTTAAACCTTTATTACATGTAGCACAACTATTCCATTTAAAGGTAGCTGTAGGCTAAGTGAATTTTGTGCAAGGAAAAATATTGAAGGTGTAAATTACAAGTTATTTTCTTGTTGAAATTCCCCTTGTTTGATGTAGAGCATAATGGAATGGAAGCAATTGTTTTACCATCCAAAAGTTATTGCTTTAGACCTTTACTTATAGTTGATGTAAACTTGCTTGTTTAGGGTGGAGATTTTGGTAATGATATGGTCAATTCAGATTTTTTATGCAAAGTAGATTGCTGAAATTTAAAGGGTTCTTATAACCTTTTCATATACCGAAGTATGGGTACTTTTGCGAACATTAGTGAGTTAGATACTATAATGGGTCGTTGTCTATACTCTACAGTATATGGTTTCAACTCTATTTGAGTGAACCTACATGTTTTGTATACCTGTCTCCTATTATTTCATTTCCTGAAGCAATTGCATGAATGATTCTATCTACTCAAGGGCTCAGAATGGAAAGAGGAAGCTGAAAATTTGGAGCGTGAACTTCAGCAATGTTACAAAGTTCTATCTCTGAGCAGCTTGTGGTTCAAGTTGCTGAGGGATGATCTGCGAAAGCTTTGATTCAAGAGAAACTGCTATAGCTAACTTGGAAAAGGAGGTTACTCACCTCAGGTGAACCTCTTCTGCTTTCTACCATGATTTTCTGACTTTTCTGTACTTCATTTGGATATTGAATTGATATTTACATAATGCTTTAGCGATGAGAACTCTGAGTTGAAGAGCTATTAGATGAGAAGATTAAGGGTGAAGAATTGCTGACAAGTGAGAACCAAGAGCTAAAAAACAACTTGATGAGATCAGTATGAAAAAAAAGGAGAGAAATTATTAAAATCTGGTATTTGGGATGGAAGTTGCAAGAGATTTTTGGGCAAGTTTTGTATTGTCACTTATTTTCTTCAATTTCTTGCCGTTTTAGTGATGGATTTTTGTGGGTTTGTGGAACTTTGTATTTTAATAGTAATGGGTTTGTCGAAATTGTTGATATGGTGGATGAAAGTTGGGGAATATCTTTTAGTTAGTGTTGAATATCTTATATTTGTGTATATGATTCGCTCTAAAGATGCCATTTTCTGAGTTGGGTATTCGTTGATGTTGAGTTGGATTGGTTCAATCCATGTAGCTATGTTGTACAGTACAACGGTGGAGACGTGGGCTGGAATGGAGGTGACCAGCATCCGCTGGTTTTGGATAGTGTACATCAAAGGGTGATGATTTTGCAGAATGGGGTTTTAAAGGAAGTCCATCAGTGATGTCACCTGCGATATCTTCAAGATTGTTGAGTTTACTGTGCTTCTACTGCTCCATCTACGAGCCCTGGTCAGGTTGTCATTCGATTATTCTTTTTTCGGCGGTGAGTGTTCACAACTAATCTCGAAATTCATTTTGTGCACTTGTCCATTTTGAACATTATTATTAAGTTAGTTACTTCACAGCTACCCCCCCAATTTATCTTCTATGATTCAGCTAAAACCTCAGCTGATGAAAAGTATGCGATGATTTTGATGTTTGAAGTAGTTTAAATTAATGTATATTGTTCACAATAGAAACTATCATTATATTCTTAAATAAGCTGATCAAGACTAAGCTCCCCAAATAAATGATCGACTGTATACATGGGTCCACTGTAAATTGTGGTAAAATGAAGTTTGTGCTTAAGAAGAATTGGTTCTTTATTGAATATCCATTCCCAAAGGTATGCTATATATGAAAATTTGTTACAGAGAATACTCAGATCTAAATGCTTTTTTTTTTGTTTTAAAAAAATTATGGTGGGTGAGTGGTGTTGAGGGAGTTTGGTGGAGTATGCTGGTGGCTATTATTATTTATTGATTTTAATGTGATAATAGTATAGAAGATGAATGAAATTAGTGTCATATTATGCTAATTATTCTAATGATTTGGTACTTTGTATGTTTTAGTTATGAATTTGTATGTTGTTAGTGTGAAAAGTAAATTTGACCGTTAAAAGTTCATGAAAAATTGTCTGTATTGTTTTGGCTTTGATAATTAGTGTTTTGGCTTTAATAATTGACCCCGTCCTCTCCTCTTGTATAGCTATAGTTCACTGTTATTGTCTTCCTCTCCTAGCTACTAATATATCAATTACTATTTCAGATATTGTAGTTGTTTGTTCTGCTGTCCCAAAGATGAACTTAGATGCTAAGAAAACATTTTTTTGTTTTTGTTTTGTTAATTTCACCCTAAGACCTTTTAAATTGTTTTGTTTTCTGTCCATATAACTACACTTCTATAATGAAAATTGCTTAGTTGTGTATTATTTAAGTTGGTTAATAGATCGTAAAATTTTACGATCCGAATCGCAATTTTAATAACATTGGTGTAACCGAATCATATATTTATAGGCTATATTATGCCCTTATCGTTTAGTTTTAAAGTATTGACATTCATTGTCCTTGGATGCTTTAAAGTGTAATATGATTTTAATTTTGCAAAGTCTAATTATATTTTAATTTAAAAGTGTAAGTGTAACCCATTGTGAAAATATTTTTCATTGAAAATGTTTATGGCTTTTTGATGAAAGGATGACCTATTATCCAAAAGGTCTTAGCTTTTTGATGTGAGGATAGTCTATTATCCAATGATTATGAGTTTTGAGTGATGAATAACCTATTAAGCACCAATTATTAGCTTTGTTCATTCAATTTTGCGTCCTATGTATTATTGAGCAAACTATTTTAAGGGTAATGTAATTTGTGTATTATTTTTAAGGGTGCTTAAATTTTGTAGGGGTGAGCAAACTTAGGAGTGAACAATTTTTTTACAGGTAAGGGAATTTAGTGGTGAAAAATTTGTATATGATTTTTAAGGATGAGCACATTCTTTAGAAGTGAGCAAACTATTTTTATATTTTGGGCGAGCTCATTATTTTGAGATGTACAAATTTTTTACCGGTTGTGTTTTGTTTCTTTTTTTCATTAAAATGCGTCTCTTTGAACTTTTACATTTGTCGAGGCACAACTTTGACCACAATGTCTTTAATTAGATATTAGTTAAAAAATATAACAAAACTATACTATGAAAGTAGACATTGTAATAGATCTAACAACATATTACATGACCATGTTTACAAATTATATAGTAAAAAAAATTAAGTTAAATGTAACATATGAATAGTGTAAAATCTCAAGTGATGTAATTTTTTTTACAAAAAAAAATTAAACGGAGAGAGTATTTTTGGGTTATTAATTTTATTTAGAGGTGATGAATTCTACATGATTTTAAAGGGTGAGCAAATTATTTAGGGGGAGAGCGAACTATTAGGAGTGAGCATGCAATTTATTTAGGGGTGAGGTAATTGTATATTTTTTCTAGGGGTGAGCAAATTATCTAAGAATGAGGTACGTAATTGTATGTGATTTTTAAGTGTGAGCAAATTGTTTATGGGAGCGCAAACTATTAAGGGATTTAAGGGTGAACAATTTATTTAGAAGTGAAGTAATTGTATATGTTTTTTAGGGGTGAGCAAATTATTTAGGGGTAGGCGAGCAATTTATTTAAGGGTGAGGCACATAATTGTATGTGATTTTTAGGGGTGAGCAAATTATTTAGGAGTAGGTGAGAAATTTATTTAAGGGTGAGGTACGTAATTGTTTGTAATTTTTAGGGGTGAGTTATTTTTTAAGAGGTGAACAACTTACTTAAGGGCGAGGTAAGTGTATATGGCTTTTAGAGGTGAGCAAATTATGTAAAGGTAAGCAAAATATATATATGAGTGAGCAAATTATTGTGTGGTGAGGTAATTTGTTTATTATTTTTAGAGGTGAGCAAATTTTGTAGTGACGGGGTAAGCAATTTATTTAAGGGTGAGGTAATTGTATACTCCCTCTGTCCCACTTTACTTGCAACATTTTAACTGGACATGTTTATCGATGCATATGTTTGACCGTCAATATTTTTTATTATATACTTATATAAGCTATACAAAAATTATATTAAGAAACTATATATTAAAATAGACCCAACAACATCTTACATGATTGCATTGGCTTTCATATAATAGCTAAAAAAGATGGCCAAAGTGAGATGTGTAAATAGTGCAAAAAGTCAACGTTGCGAGTAATTTGAGACGGAGGGAGTATGATTTTTAGGATTGGGCAAATTATTTAGTAATGAGCAAACTATTTTGGAGTGGACATTTTATTAGGGGTGAATTAATTTGCATTTGATTTTTAAAGGTAAACAAATTAATTAGGAGTAAGGTAATTGTATATGATTTTTAAAGGTGAGCAAATCTGTTAGGGGTGAGCAAAATCTTTAGGGGTGAACAATTTATTCAGGGTGACCAAATTCTTTAGGGGTTGCTATTTTGGGATGAGCAATTGATTTAGGGGTGAGGCAATTGTATATGATTTTTAGAGGTTAGCAAATTATTTAAAGGCAAGCAAATTTTTTGAGATAATTGTACATATTTTAGGGGTTACGGAGTAATACAATGTTATATAAATTACTTTACAAAATATGATTCATGGCCTATTCCAAAATCCTTTATCCAACCCACTAAATAGAATCAATTATGAAAGGGATATTAACATGTGACCCATTTACTTGCACATTATCTTTATTAGCCTACCTCTTTGGGCTCTTACTAGATAAGCAATAATCATAACATGAGTACAACACTATATGTCCAAATGTAGAACAATATACATAGCTAATGAAATCTATAATTCATAAAATTAGAGCTTATCTAAATATATAATAAACTAATTAACTACAATTTTCCTTAATTATCAAGTATGGCTTCCATCACGTTTTGTCAATTGGACCGCGAGTGATGCGCGCAGGAGGTCGGGACTAGTTATAAACAAAAGTGTTTATGCCTATTATTTATACTTCCTCCGTTAACGGTTATTTGCAACAATTGTACCTCTTTCGTGGAGGTCAATGCAAAACTTTTAAAGCATGATTATTGAAATATAAGGGCGTGTAATAAAGTATTAATCCTACATAAAAAATAAAAATAAAAAAAAAATTAAACAAAACCAGCACCACCACCGAAACCCAAAACCAGAACCACCACCAAAACCATCGACAACCACCAGAACCACCAAACCCGTCGACCCTCAGAACCCGAAACTCCACCAAAACCCAACCACGAACCCAGCAAACCACCATCAGAAAACCACCACACACCACGAACCACCCCACAAACCCAAAACCACCACCCAAAACCACCACAGAATCCCAACAAACCACCCCACGAACCCAAAACCACCACCGACGCCATCCTAAACCACCCACCTTTCGAACCCGAAACCGCCTAACCCACCTCCCACAAACCCAAATCTGAAACCCACCATTTCTCCAGATCTGAAATTGAGCGTCTTTCTTCTTCAATTCATTAAAAGTGGTTGAAGGAGAAGAGAGAAAGTTAATGTTGAAGAGGATGAAGATGGAGAAAATAGATTATGAGAGAAGAGGAAGAAGATGATGGAGGAGAGAGAAAGATAATGGGGAAGATGAAGAGATGATGAAGGATTGATGATTATTGAATGATATAAAATAAGTTTAATTAGATTAGATTAGTTTTTAATCAATTATGTTTTAAGTATGTAATTGATGTTATAAAGTTTTAAGTAAGGGTGTTTTTGTAATTTTATTTAAAAAAATTACTAAAAATGGAAAGATTTGGGAATGTTGCAAATAATAGTAGCACCACTTTTAGGTAAATGTTGCAAATAACTGTTAACGGAGGAAGTATTAATTATGTGGGTTGAGATTTGACATTCAAGCCAAAGCATTATTAATCTCAAAAACCAACCAATAACAGGGGGTATTGCCCACGCTAAATATAGTAGAATTCTTTTTAATTAATTAAGATGACTTTAATTTTAATACATGATTTTTATGGGTCAGATTTAGATTGGTTATGTAAGGGTCGAGTCAATTGGTTTCGAGAAATGGTATCGTTCTTTAAGGTCGGATAAGATTGAATAGGGTTATTTCAAATTCGGGTGAAATTATAAACTTCATTATTTTTGTGTAAAAATCGGTTTTGATTTAGTCCTGGTTAGGTTCAATTAGAGTAAATTTCATATTGGTGTAAGATCACCATCGATTTTGACAATTTGGTAGGATTTTTATTGGTTTTATTTCAGCAACCTAAAACGGGATTTAACTCAAAAACAATTGCAATTAACATAACCGACATAACTCGGGATCTGGTTCGACCTGAATTGATATGACATGAATTCTGTTTCCATTTGATCCGATAAGATCCATCTTTTGACTCAACCAATATTGTTAGGGTCATCCATTCTCAGGTTAAAATTCGATGTTTGATTAATGTCAAATTGATTCGCATCAGTTTTAATATCCAAATTCTTCGCGTATCATTGAGTTAGATTTTGGTTGGTTAACTGAACCAAGTCCCTTTATTAACAGCTCTACATCTAATTCATACATTATGTATAAAGAGCTATATATTATGACTTCAACTTAATATTGTATATATTTTTCCTAGTTGTGTGTTTTTATATGTTGTTCTCCACTAGTTTGTCTATTTGATTTGTTTTTATTAATTTTGGACCTTGAAATTATTAGATGCTTAAGTAAATTAAATAATCTCAATTAGAGGGGACTTTTCATGAATAGCAAAGACTTTGATTGCTCCTTCATAAAATTTTATATAATCTCAATAGGTTAGCAGGGATTAAATAAAGTTTATTTTGAATTAAGTTACCTTTCTAAGAATAATTGCTATGGTACAAAATGAGTCCGAATCGTTACTTGCATCAAGAGTCAATCACAATGCGTACATGGAGCACTCGGGAGCTTCCAATGCAAATCTTGCGAGCACAAGACTTAGTACTCGAGCAATGTAGCTAGCGTCATTAGGACATCTATTCTCAAGTGCACAAAATAATAAAAGTGTTAATACTAACAAGCACGTACTTTGATAACTAGTGCAATTAACTTTCAACACATGCTTTTATATACTACACTCGTTTCATAATATGTTTTAATGTGGAGTATTATACATTTTTGTCCGTTTCATAGGAATAATAACGTTCTTAATATTTTTCACTTCATTTTTAACGAAAATAATAGTTTACTAACGGGAAGACTTTTAATACAATCATATAATTTATAGTTGTAGAAGTTGTAACAATCATTTTTCTAGAAGCTTTAGTACAATATAGTTGCTTCCTAAGTAAATTTTCAATTGAAAATTTTCCATAAATCAAATAGTAAACAAAAGTCAGTTGGAGCGGCCAGAAGGAAAGGCATGTGCATGAGCAATATTTTATTTTGTTTTCTCATACCAATTTCTAATTTGATTGGTATCATTGTCTTATAAATATGAACAATAAAATGCTCAAATTAACATCATCATTCTTACAAATATAGAAGAACAAATGGAAAAAGATTCAATGGTGCATTTTAAGCTCTTCCTAATATTAGGAATTCTTCTGCTTCACTCTTCTGGTAATCAACTTATATTTCTCAATATGTTTCTCTAAGTTGTTTTCATTTGGTTTTTTTATTTTATGTTTTTTTTTTTTTAAAAAAATTACCTAATAAAACCCAGATTTTGTGAGAAACTACCTGATAAAAAAAAATGTTATAATACACTGCCTAATAAAAGATAAAATGTTGTAAAATACTAACTCTGGACGAAATTTCACCGTTGACCTAATGTTTTGACGTTGACCCACCTCAAAACATCCCCGAAGTCACCGCTTTCATCCACAAAAACCAACACAACCTGCTTGAAATTGCCTTAACCACGCCAAAACTACCCACTAACCCCAAAACCACCACATCTTACCCCAAAAACCACCATCTCGATCGAAGCACAAAACTAACCTCACCAACTCGAAATATCCCCTAACCAGCTCAAAAATGACCTTAAAACATTGAAAACTAGCTATCGTGATAGTTTCGGGGGTGTTATGAGGTTGATCAACGTCGTAAATTAGTTCAACGGTGAAAATTCAGCCAACATTTTACATAGGTAGTTTCCTAAAACATTTTTTTTAAGAAACTAATTTATGACAAAAAAAATCCTTTTTTTTTTTATTTTTTTTTTAACAAAGTTAGCCTTTTATTTTTGTACAAAGTTTTCAATGCATATTATTTGCAATAGTAATAATATATTTTGATTCGTATTGTAAGAAAATTAAATAAAAGAGTTGAATTTAAACTACAAATAAGACAAATCAAACAAGATTGTACTCCTTTCGTTGCGTAATAATTGCAACAGTTTGACATTTGCACTATTTATATACCTATTTTGAATATACTTTTTATCAATATATAAATAATATATACGCCATGTAAAATACTTTTGAATTAGTTTTTATGTTTATTTTCATCATATTAACCTTTCATATTTCTTTATGATAAATTATTACAAATATTAATGGTTAAAATTGTACATTGACATGTATACTGATCATACGGAGGGAATACATGCATAAATATGGTTTTTTTTTTTTTTTTTTTTTTTTTTTTTTTTTTTTTTTTTTTAATAATGTATCGACATAGTATTAGACTTCATTATCAGTGGATCGAATATATAGTCTTTAAATAGGAAAATTTGCTAATTACAACCGGTAAAAATATTCATTTTGTGGGTTACAACCATAAAAGTTTATTTTTGCAAATTACAACCAAAAAAGTCACCCAACATTTTAAAATATAGTCAAAATTCGATTATCGGACACTTTCACCGGAATATGACGTCATTATATCAATAAATGAATCCAAACTAGTAATCTCGTATTGGCTGAGGCCTTGAGGGTTATTTTTAATACCAATAAATGATAAATGACGTTATATTCCAGGGAAATTGGTTGAAAATCGGAGTTTGGGTTGTAATTTAAAATATTTGGTAACTTTTTTTTATAATTTGCAAAAATAAACCCATATGGTTGTACCCGCAAAATGGGTATTTTTTTTAGTTGTAATTAGCAAATTTTCCCTTTAAATATTACTCCATTTTTTATAGTCTGAATTTTATTCTGTAACATTACTCTTGTAATACATTTTCTAAGTGAACTCTCAATTATAAAATTAACGTCGATTACATTTGGTCATGTTGTAGGTATACTATGTAAAACACCCGGAGGTCTAGAAGTTTCAGGAAGAGGTGGTTTTACACAAACACAAGGATGGCATGGTAGAAAATTGTTGCAATATTGTGCCCTTCGAGGGTATACTTGTGATGTCTATGCATGTTGTGGAGGATCTTTTTGCACTTATTATCCTTATAATGGTCATTATTTTTATTGTGTTTGGTCACCTATATAACTATAAGAACCATGATTATCTTCCAAACAAGGTCGATGAAGACAAAACTTTGGGATCACTTTTTTTAATGATTTATTTCCTGTTATTTATAAATTGATTTGAATATCCTAGAGTGTAATGGGATTGATTAATCTATCCAAAATTTATTTACTAGTTTAGTTGATGTTGTATGTTTGGTTTTGGTAAATGAATTGAATAAGATTGAGCTTTTCATACTTTGAAATGTGTTAAGCCAATTACTTACTTATATTTTCACTACTTTCACTTCCAATAATTTATGCTTTTTAGATGACGGAGAATATCTTTAATTACACAAATTCATAATAAGAATTATAGAAAGTTTATCTTATTAAAACACATTTTGTAATGCATGGAACAATATTGATTTCTTACCTCCACTACATGAATAAGAGGTAATTTAAGATGTAATTGAGACTTAATATGCAACTTAAATGATGGTGTGACTGTTTTACAATGATTAAAATTATATACAAATATCTAGTAATTGAATTAACAAGAATGAACTCAGCCATACAGTAGAAGAGGAAAAAACTTACGAATATTGGTTCAAAGATTATTGCTTCTATTCTTGTTCCTATATAATTTCCATGTATGCGAATACGAATCCCTTTTTGTGGCTTTTCAGAGAACTTTTACTTCTGACAATGTAACCTATGGCTTTTAAGTGAACCTTTACTTCTGGCAATGTAACCTATGGCTTTTCAGTGAACCTTTACTTCTGGCAATGTAATTTTTCTGTGTGGTCTCATCCTAAAAGACTCTATATCAATCGATTATGTCAAACAATCAATGATTAATTGAGGCTAGCTATATGCATGTTTTAGCTCAGGGATCGTCATATTATTCATATTATTCTGTGATTGGATAGACAAGAGCATCACTGCGTCATCAACGTAAAAGCACCAAAAACATGTGTTTATTACTCGCTTCTCATTAACGCCTATGAAGTGATCATAGGCCAGCTGCAGCATCATCAGTTGAAGCTGCAGAATTATCTTGCTTAGAAGGTCTACTCCCATAAAAACCACTCATGGGGTCATTTAGCAGTATGACTGCTGCAATGCTTGTGAGTGGCACTCTGACAGCATTTAGAACCCCTGCAAGCATAGTTGATGCTAAAAACAGCACTGCTGTGGCACCCAACACTCCTAATTGAAATGTTATCGCACCCCAAACAAGAACCATGCAGTATGAACTTTTTCCACCCTTGAAATTTCTGGCCTCTTCTTCCATTCCTTGGAAACTCCTATCCACAACAACACCCATTGTTGTAAATATAAATGCAAATAAAGAAACCATGACCTGCTGCTCCAGCACCACATGGAACGAGATTCTTCCCAATAGCTTCACAAACAATAACTCAGAAAGCGCGAATATGAGTCCATGGAGAGCAGATCCCATAATATCCCATATAAATCCCATAGTGTTCTGGGTTTTATTCACATTACCGTATAAATCTGAGTCTGAATTTAACGCAATAATGGTCAAAGCAGCAGTAATCATGACAACAGAATTTATAATTGAAGCATTTACCCTGTTTCCAACAAGAAGATAACCAAATAATGCAGAAAAGATGAGGGATGAAGATGCCAGAAGAGAAGCAGTTGATGCTGGAAGGTTAGCATATGCATATGCATACAAGAGGTTATCAGATGCGCATAAGAAACCACAACTGCATAACAAAGAGTGAATTTCAAGTTCAAACGCGTAGGAACTCTACTCTTTCTTCTCTTCCAACCCATCAAAACTTTCATCATTGCTGCAAAAACCTTCTGCAACTCTAACTTCCTCTGCTCCATTTCAAAAACCCACTTCAGAAATCCTCTCTAAGCATTCATGGGTCGAAACCCTTCGTTCCCAAGCGCATTCTGGGCTTCTCCTGGAAGCCATTTCCACCTACATTTCCATGTTAATGGCGGGTGTTGTTGCGGACAATTTTGTATATCCGGCCGTTTTGAAGGTTGCAGCGGACCTTTATGATTTGAATTTTGGGAAACAGATTCATACCCAGGTGTTTAAACTTGGGTATGGGTCGAATTCAACTACTGTGGATAATACCCTTGTGAATATGTATGGGAAATGTGGAGATATTAGGGATGCACGTAAGGTGTTTGATAAAATGTCTGAGAGAGATCAGGTTTCGTGGAACTCGATTATTTCGGCTTTGTGCAGGCATGAGGAGTGGGAGGATGCTTTGGAGGCGTTTTGGGTGATGCAAGAGGAGAATGTTGAGCCTAGTTCGTTTACGTTGGTGAGTATCGTGTCGGTTTGTGGGAATTTAGGGGTTGTTGATGGGTTGAGGCTTGGGAAGCAAGTTCATGGTTATAGTTTAAGGAAGGGAGATGTGAGAACTTTTATAGTTAATTCATTGATGGCTATGTATGCGAAATTGGGAAATGTTGATTATGCAAAATCGTTGCTTTACACGTTTGAGGATTGAGATTTGGTCACTTGGAATACTATGATAAGCTCATTCTCACAGAATGATCGTTTCATAGAAGCATTGGAGTTTTTAAAGTTTATGGTTCAGAAAGGGGTTAGGCCGGACGGAGTAACAGTTGCAGTGTTTTGCCTGCTTGCTCTCATTTGGAGTTGTTGGATTTAGGAAAAGAAATTCATGCTTATGTGATTAGAAATGAAGTTTTTAGTGATAATACTTTTGTGACTAGTGCTTTAGTTGACATGTATAGCAATTACAAAGAGACATGTATAGCAATTACAAAGAGGTACTAGTGGTCGCTTAGTTTTCGATAACACCCAAGTGAGAAATATAGCTACTTGGAATGCTATGCTAGCTGGTTATGCTCTAAATGGACGTTTTGAGGATGCGTTGAAGCTTTTCATTGAAATGCTTGAAGTTGCAGGGGTTTCCCCTAATCCCTCAACTATGGTAAGTGCTTTACCATCCTGTGTTCACAGTCAAGAATTCTTAGATAATGAAGGTATTCATGGTTTTGTTATCAAATTGGGCTTCGGGAGGAACAGTTACGTACAAAATGCTCTAATGGGTATGTACTCTAGGATAGGAAAGATTGAAATTTCCAAAAACATATTTGATAGCATGGAACATAAGGATAGTCTCCTGGAACACAATGATAACTGGCTATGTTGTCTGTGGACAGCACAGCGAGGCTCTTCTATTGCTTCATGAGATACAACGACTTAATGATAGTGAGGATGAACATGAGTAGGATATAAGAACTTTTCATAGGGCAAATTCAATTACTCTTATGGCTGTTCTTCCCGGTTGTGCTTCCTATCAGCACTGGCTAAAGGGAAAGAGATACACGCCTATGCCATTAAAAATAATATGGCATCGGATGTCACTGTTGGAAGTGCATTAGTTGACATGTATGCATGCAAAATGTGGATGTTTGAATGTATCGAAAAGAGTATTTGATCTTATGCCGAAGAAGAATGTGATAACGTGGAAAGTGCTTATCATGGCTTATGGTATGCATGGGCTAGGGGAGGAAGCACTTAGTCTATTACGGGAAATGGCTGCTGAGGCTTTGCTGGGTAGTGACACGAAGCCCAATGAAGTTACAATTATCGCTGTGTTTGCAGCTTGTAGCCATTCTGGCTTGGTTAATGAAGGACTAGATCTTTTTTATAGCATGAGCGATAAATATGGGATTAATCCTACAGCTAATCACTTTGCTTGCGTAGTGGACTTGCTTGGTCGAGCAGGGAAACTGGATGCGGCATATGAGCTCATCAGTAGCATGCCTGCTCAATATGATAAAACAGGTGCTTGGAGCAGTTTGTTGGGTGCTTGTCAGGTGCACAAGAATGTATAACTGGGAGAGGTTGCAGCAAAGAATCTTATTCAACTGGAACCACACATAGATAGCTATTATGTTTTACTTTCCAATATCTATTCGTCAGCTGGGCTTTGGGAGAAGGCAACAGAAGTCAGGAAAAATATGAAGCAGATGGGAGTGAAAAAAGAACCCGGATGCAGTTGGATTGAGTTTGGTGATAAGGTTCATAAATTCCTTGCAGGTGATGCATTGCACCCACAAAGTGAGCAGCTGCATGGTTTCATAGAGGACTTGTCAGAAAGGATGAAAAAGGAGGGTTATGTTCCTGACACTTCCTGTGTTCTTCACAATCTTGACGAAGAGGAAAAGGAGAGTCTATAATGTGGGCATAGTGAGAGATTGGCAATAGCATTTGGCATCCTAAATACGCCTCCTGGATTTACAATTCGTGTTTCTAAGAACCTAAGAGTTTGCAATGATTGCCATACAGCTATGAAGTTTATTTCTAAGATTGAAAAGAGTAGATTATTCTTCGTGATGTGAGGAGGTTCCATCATTTTGACTTTTTGAGGATGGAGTCTGTTCTTGTGGGGATTACTGGTGAACAGTACAGCAGTACTTCATCTCTGTCCCTTCCATATCCTCAATATACGAGATCCTCATCCTACACAAAATGTATCCTTCATATTATACTTTGTTGTACAAGCTGTATAAATGTACAATTTTCAGTTGTGAAGACTGGTTTGAAAAACTGGACATACAGAATGCTGTCGAAAATGTTGGTGCAATACAATCTTCTCATTTATGGTATCTTTTGTTTGTCTTCCGATTGTCATGCTTCTAAAATGAAATTGTTTTCTGTTAATGTATTCAGGATCAAAATTTTGTAACCTCTTGTTCGAATAGAACTACAAAATATATGAAAAGAAAGTTTGAAAGATGGACTTTATTCTCAATGCATATGCTGTGAAGTTAATATGATTGCGTTAGCTCACAAGACTTGTATGGTAATCATGTATTTTATCATTTCTTGTAGTCTAGATGTCTTGGACAAAAGATATAAACTAATGCATGTTTAAAGGTCTCCTTTAGAGATACAATGCAACAGTGCTGCTGCCCTGAGGGGAAAAATCTGCTACATTAATACTTTAAAGCATCGAAACTCAGTGTCTTTTATTTATACTTGTATGGTTGTGGCTTTATCTATAGTTCATATGCACTTCGGATTGCAGCTCTCTTCCTCTTTGATTTTTTTAATGGGCCAAATAATTACTTATGGTATGCTTATGGCTGGACAATGAAGCAGTGTATGGCTCTGTTCTCTTCACCTGATTTATGAGTATTGAGCTTACAGAATTTTTACCGATTAATCTGATTTTATTATTGATTGCAACTGATTATTACTGAATACTGATTGCAGCTGGTTTTTAATGATGAAAACTGAATTTTATTGATTAATACTGATTTTTGAATTTTATTGATTAATACTGATTTTTGAATTTTGATGATTCTAGTGTATTTATAAAAGTTATTGAGTTTGAATTGAACTTTATTTAACGAATTTGATTTTCTTACTGATTTATTCAAACTTATTTTTACTGAATACTACTATGTTTCTTTCCCTTTAAAAAAAAAAAAAAAAAAAAAAAAATAATCTACTACTATGTTTCTTAAGGTGAAGAAAACAGGGCCTAAATCTTCACTAAATTTCGTAATGCAAAAAAAAAAAAAAAAATTATGTTTTAGTGCAAACTTTCCTTGACCTAGCAGACGAGATTTACCAATTCTCGGTGGTATAAATATCTGGCTACCTCCGATTAGAGGCAAACTTGTTAATCTTTGTCTGATTTTTATGAAGAGCTATTATCTGTCAGTTTATTTATCTGTCCAATTGGAGGTTAAATAAGTTTGAATTTTTTTGTGATAAACTGTCTTGCCAACTTTATGAAGTAGGGCTGCTCTTTACTTCCTTCTCCCCTTACTGTATACAGAGTGATTTGTAGAATTCTCAAACTTAATTTTAGTGCCCTTTAAATGTCTGCCTAAATGTTGAGTTTCTTAAGATGGAATTGCACCAAATATAATGTAATTATTCTGTAAGAAGTATATCAGTGTTGTGATTTGAAAGAAGCAACAGTATTGTGCTAGCTCGTTTTGAGATCTGTAGTGTTCTAGCATCATATTAAATCTTCACTGAGCTTCAGGTCATTGTAAAAATCATATTATATGTCATGCATGTTATGTCACAAATATTCCAATTATGATACACATTATTAACTATTACTCTCTTCTTCTAAATTAAATGTTTGTGCATGTCTTAATGGCAAAATGTTATGCTTGGTTTGCACCCTAGGCTGTTCATTACTCTACTATCTCCTTTCGTTTCGTGACTTTTTAAGCTCATAAACTGTTGGGACTTGGGATTGCTACAATTTTTTGGCATTTACCTGAGGATCAAGGGAATCAACTCCTTATCAAAATCGTTGACAATTTTGATTGGACATGCCTGTATAAGTTGAATAAAATTAGTGTTACTGCAAGTACAGATGGAACATCAGCTTTGGGTCGTCTATTTTTCATAAACTTCAATAAGAGAAAGAAGATCACTATCTATCTAGTTCTGAGTGGTAGCTTTAAATATTTCAAAGAACCCAAACAAAACTGCACCTGGACAAATTAGAGAACAAAGAAGGGTAGGAAATACAAATACAGAGAATGGAAATTCCAAAGTAACAATAGAATTTTACATGATAGAGACTAATGGAAAATTTTGTTTCTTCCATTGATTGGAGCTCAGAATTCCTCTGCGCCAGTCAGTCTCTTATTCTATATTTTGCCTTTGAACATATTTTGGAAAAACAAGACTAATTTCTTGTACCTTTGATCATTGTTTTATGGGCCTTTCTGTTCTTTTACTGCTCTGGCTGGGGGATTCTCCTCCCGGCCCTGTTTTTGTTGTTCAGATTTGGTTGTTAATATTCTATAGTGTGATAAAAGGGATATCTTTGTTTATTTTTAGGATGTGGCAACCTGGCAGAAGAAAGGGCGGAGAGGGGGGGGGGGGGGGTGGAGCCAATAGTAAAATTAAGCACAGTATTTCAGCAATTCAGCATTTGCCTTTTCAAACTGGACAAAATCATCATTATAATTGTCTATGAATAAGCTGTTGTCTGGTGGTTCAATGGTCACCTTAGCTCATTATGCTAATTCTTACTATTACTCGCTTTCCTTTTCCTTATCCTCTTTTTAAGTCTATATGCTAGGTAAGATTTAAAAAAAGTCAAAAAACAGGTTTAAGAAAGGAAATCAAAAATTACTTATCCTCTCTTAATCCTAAAATTGCTTGAATTATTAATTGGTTCTGTTCCAAATCCATATAGCACCTGCATCCATTAACATGGGTACGAGTTTGCCTTGGACTTGGAGGCTTATGACGTCATTAGCCCCTCCTATGAGCTTTTGGCCTATGAACACAGCTGGTACTCCTGGCTTACACCCTAGCTTTTGTAATGCTCGATCTATTTCCTTTCCATTTGGAAGTTCATCCAGCTCATATACTGTTGGGTTTGCTCCGTAGCTGGTTATCAGTTGTTTCATGGAATGACTCATGCAGCATGAGCTCTTGCTGAAGATGACCACTGGTTTGTCTTCCACTAAACGGTTTACTGTATCCATGATGCAGTTACCACAGCTATGATTTGATGAGAAGGAGAGGTTTTGGCAAGAATAGTGATTCAAAATATTGGTCTTTTGTTTTCTCTGTTTGAAAGACAAATGGTTCTTTGCATGTATACCAAACTATTGAAGTAAAGGCCTCTATTTATAGAGTGCTAGTCTAGCATTCCTAAGAGTTATCTGAGAAAGAATATTGTGCGGAGCAAAGTAGTCCCTTTCTATTCTTGGTTAAATCCATCACTGGTAGATGATGACAATTTTCTTCTTTTTAAGAGTTTTAACCCTACCTTGCATTGTATAGCAACTTGTATAATAGGGCATTTTATTTAAGTAGTATGCCCTGTCGCACAAGGACACATGACGGTCTTGGTTTGTCTAATAAATGCCAGTACCTTAGTATCAGCAGCAACCACTAATTGGAGTGACAGTTTATAGGCAATGACAAACACCTAACCTCTATTAAATTTAACTTCAGAACAACTTTTCGTTTCTTTAATTTATCACTAATTTTCTCCTAGGAAAGCTTATCATTGTTCATTTGTGTGTCATTGTTCTTTTTTCCCTCTGCAGGAGAAGGGAAATTATTAGTCAAGGAATGGGACAAACTAGGAATGTAATGCAGGTCAAGGATAATTTAAATTAGTCTGTCTTAAACTCTTATAGACATTCTTCTGAATAACCTTTTAACCATTTTTATTGTTCAGTTAGTCTGCCTTATGCCTGTTAAGATCTTTATAGACTCCATGCTGCGTCTAAAATTTTACTACTAAGCCAATAATTAAGAGCTTCAAGTAAATCATATAGAAAGCTTTGTTGATGTCGAAAAAAAAATTTGCACACATTGAGGATAGTGGAGTTTTTTTTTGTGTGAATTTATTAGCAGTCAGTTTAAGCAATACATCTGCATAGAAGACAAAATAAATTATACTAAAACTGATCTAGATGTGGTAGATACTTGCATGTAATAATTTACTTAATTGGTTTTTTGGTTTTAGATATTCTTGATCTGTGTTGATAGCTTCACATTAATGCAGATATAACCGAGATTCCATCACTTTTTTTTTTTTTCTTTTTTGTTACAGATGTGCCTCATACTAGAGAGTTCGTGAAAAAAAATCCCTTGCTCAACATTCTTCTGTCTAATACCTGTGTAACCAGCTCAATGTATGCCCAAGGGTCAAAAAAATTTCCCCACTTTCTGTGACAAGCTAGGGGCAACTGACCTCTTCATTTATAAGAGATAGGTATCCTTCTATTTCTGAGATTCCCTGCGCTTCCTTTACATTTTTATTTATTTATGTATTTATTTTCTTTCACTTTTTGGATAAATGAATTAGAAAACAATTTGGCTATAACATTTCTCTGCATTCAATTTTTGCTCAACAAAAAAGTCTCTTGCATTTGGACTGTAAAGTAGAGAAACAAATTTGTCATGTCTTCTTTTTATTAGTCCATATTTTAAAGATTTTTTTGGTTGATTTCTGGAAGGAATAATTAAATTTTCTCAAAATCTGTAGCATGCAGAATTCATCTTGATTTCACTTTTATCTTACTTTCTATTGTTTATATGAAACTTTACAATTCAGAGTTGTAAACAAACTTGAATTTGCATTGTAGGAAAGTAACTTAACTGCCCTTTTGGTAGGCAGCAAAAAATTGTGGAATTGGTAATGGGATCACTTGTAATTTTGCATTGGGTAATCCTAATACATAACAACGCCCTAAGTATGTGTTTTTCCTTGAACTTCATAATTACTCAATAAGTCAATACCACCTCTACATGAAAATGAGTAATGATCAAAATCATGATGAAAAACATTTGGGGGTCGAGTTGCATTACCGTAGACATTAGAACGGATCTTTATTTTCATAAATACACAAACTTCTCGTCATCACCGTAATGTCCTTAAAATGTGGTAGCTGTCGGCTGTATTGTAGATCCAACCTTGTATTCATAACATTTCATTGCCGAACTAGCCTTGTATCAAATGTCATTTACTACACCATATGCTAGTTGCACTTAGAAATTATTAAGTGTGTAACAATGTTGAACTACTTATTATATGTATCGAAGTAATTAATCTTGGTAATAATGTAGGTTAGATTGCGATCATGGCGGTTGTGATTGCACCCATTGCGGTAATGTCTATGCATCACTAAAGCATACTTGATTTTGGTGTAAAGGATTCCTCTTAATGTACACAATTTTCCAACATATTGGCTGTACAGATCTGTTTTTGATTTGTATTAGTCTTATTGATTCGTTACAAGTCAATACTCAATATATAACAGTCCTGACCCTGTACCTTCACTTGAATAGATCACAATTCATCATTCTTTTCCTTCTCCATTCTCTTCTAAGATTTCTACCTTAGATAGAACAAGAGAAAGAATAACTTAGCTAGTAGCCTCCATGTTTGCATCTCTCCCCTAGAACTCTACTCTTTGCAATTTTCAATATTGTTGCTGCCCTATTTACTAATAACAAGTCTATATTTAGTCAAATACTGCAATTATAAGTATATAAGGTGCAATAAAAAGAAAGAGCTGCAAATCCTGTATCTTGCTGTTATTACAATGCATGCCATTTTGGCTTGGATTAACAAATTGGAAATATTTCACTAAATCATAGTTATCTAAATGCTTCTAACATGGTTCAAAACGATCTGACACAAGATATGAACTACTTACTGAACACTTAATTTTTAGCATGCTTCTACTATCCATTATTCTATATATCGGAGTCAAGGCTTTGCTCATTGATATATGATCAAATTGTGAGGCTATGAATCATGAAATAAATATTTTGGATGACCATCACAGTTCACAGCCATGGAGTAGCGATCACTGGATGATAAGGACTTAACTAATTAAACTAGAATATTTGGAACAGACCTGGATACTGGATACTTAATATGGGTTGTGTAAGTATATTCTGTGTGATTTTTTCACCTTTTATTTGAGTGATAATTGTAAGTTCTATATATTATTGCAGCTTCTTTTTTCTGTTTCCTTCGTCTATTGTCTTTGCCATTATGAATTGCTCAAAACAAGTTTCTTTGTTTTGATGCTTAAGGTGCAGTGATATTAGACCTGTTTTGGTGGCCTGGGAAATTCTTTTTCCCCAAACTATGATCCTTTACAAGTAGCTTTCAGCAAAACATGTAATTGTGTAATAAATGGAATTATTTTTTTCTTGTCCAGGTAAAACATCATATGAAGACCCTTTAAGGGATTGAACATCCATCTTTGCGGTACCATATTACATAAGAGGGATGAAGGTAAATTTGTTGGTTAATGGTTTATATTAGACTTCTAGCTGAAAACTAGTTTTAAATGTTATAAAATTTGGCTCATTGAGCATCATGAAAAAGGAGGATTCAAACAAAGGAGTTGTACATGTACAAATGACTTTTTCTAAAGCTTTGGAAGTGTTGATAACATATATTACATTATAAATTATAATCATGATCTACAAAACTAGTTCCAGACCTGATTTGAGAGGGCTGAATTAGATACAGGATTAAGAGAGTCTTTATAATGTAGAGAGCGGGTAAATAAAGGAAGGGGGGGGGGGGGGGGCGGGGGAGAAAGAAAAGGTTTCAAATCTGATGCATCATCAAACCCAAATGGCCTTGGCTTCCATTAGCATTGGCACCAGTCTTCCTTGAACTTGAAGGCTGATGACTTCTTTAGCTCCACCAACATACTTCTGCCCGATAAAGACCGCAGGCACACGAGGTACTTGCCCAAGTTTTTGCAATGCAGTATCAACTTCATGTCCCTGTGGAGTTTCATCGAGCTCATAAACTGTTCCATTTGCTCCATAGTTGCTGATAAGCTGTTTCATTGAGTGGGACATACAACATGAAGTCCTGCTGCATATCACCACTGGCTTTCCTTCTACTAAGTGCTGAATTACTTCCATATATAAAGACTTAAACAATATTGGGTTTCTTCTTTTGTTTTGATTTGGTGGAAGAGTTATGATGAGAAGCCTGAGACGATGTTATATCTTTTGAAACTTGTGAAAAGGCTATTGGTTTTGTGCTGAGATTTCTGAGTTGCTACACCCTTGTCTTTATACTGCTCGGGCGACTAGTAAAATTCCTTACGTAGCTACCTCTGACTAAAAGGATAATAAGGAATTATCCTGAAATAATCTTTCCTATTTCTCAATGTTGACGCCTCAAGATCACAATGGGAGACTATGCTCAACATTTTTTTTTTTTAAATTTTTTTTTGGCGAAGTCATATCTCAGAAATATCTTACTGTAGAAACCCAAAAGTTTTGCTTCGGACCTAAGTACCTTCTCAAATCTCTTCCATATCTCTTTATAACAAGCTACATATAATCTAAGTACAATCCTATGAAAATGAGAGGAAGAAATAAAGAAATGGGTGATTTTATTCATTGAGAAAGTGACTAACTGCAAGACAGCTTATTCAAAATTATTACAGTCATCATTTTTTAATGATCTGGTCAAGTTGATAGAACATATAGAAAAATGAATGAATTTTTTTTTTAGATAGAATTTTAATTTCATTTAAAACTATGTATAACAGTCACATTGTCCTAATTTCTCATATATAAGGTTTCACCTTTCACCGCAAGTACACTAAAATACCTTTTTGAATAGCTGCTTTTTTTCATCACATATCTAGCAATCCATTTAAGTGGGGTTATGTTTGAAAATTTGTGCGTAATCAATTGTTATTTAGCATATGTAACATCTGTTTTTGATTGTCTCAAAATTCATATGTAACTATGAAATCTAGACTTGAGGCAGTTATAGTTTTTACATACAGTTACAGGCTATAAGCAAGAGTGACACATAGGTTTTTAGATTAATTCATTTATTTGAAGTTATGCTATTTTCATTATTTGATTATATCTGGTCTTTTTTAACAGCCACAAGTCTCACATGTATGGTGTTCTTATGCTACCACGCTGTATAATTAAAACGCATTTAATGATACTTAAGTCATATGTTTCCCTACCTTTTAAAAAGCATGAGAAAACACTTATGAATAGTGTGAGAATAATTATATCCTTAAAATGTTTGTTTACCTATGCCCCTATTAATATGATTAATTGTGTTTAACTTCTCCTTGTGTGATTTAATGATTTAATTCTTACATATAGTTTTTGGACCATTATACCCTCTACAATGTTTATATACTTATTTGCCTTCATTAAAGTTAATTGCTTTTTTTTTTTAAAGAAAAAAAAAACCTCTTAAGAATTGGCGAACATTTGTACCCCTAAAAATATTTGTTTACATATTTTCCTTATTACGTTGCCAACAACTGAAAGAACTCTCCGAAATCGGCTAAATATGGTGCGCGTTAGCCACCCTAGTCTTTCAAAAATTATCATTTGCTCAACTTCATATTATTACATATCAATTTTTTTCCTTCTGCCAATAAACCAATGTTTAGTCAAGTAGCTGATTGCTCCTCACATATTATAATGCAATCTGATATATGTATAAATTTACTGTTCCTTTCTGGTTATTCGTTTCTATTCATTCTCAAAATAGTTCAAATTGTTGCAGTATACAGGATTTGCTTCAAAAAGTGACCAAGAATCTAAAGGATTATTTCTATTGCTTCACAAGAGACCAGAAAATCTAAAGGTGGCCGTACTAAAAGTGGAAATTCATGTGGTCCAAAAGGCATTTGGTATGTAATTACTATTAGCATTGTACAAATTCGGGAGTAATTGCCTTATTTGTTATTCTCTCATGTATGGGCAGGATTACAATATGCTTTTTTCTCTTTTTGTCTGCAACTTTTCCACCACCTTTGGCTATGGAGGAGCCAGGTATGTTTATAAACGGTATGAGTATGAGGTTCAACAGGGTGTTCATTTAGGCCATTATAAAAGCCATATATATGTGGATATAAGTGTCGAGTATGACCGTATGAGTATATATACAAGTGTCTATTATGTAATGTATTAAGCATATCCAAGTGTCTATTATGTTATATATTAAGCATATTAACATTGTCATATAATTGGACTAGGGTGCGGGGTATAATATGCTTGAAACATATTCTAATAATAAATACACATTTTAAGTTCACATACTTGCTATATGTTATGTTATTCCCATCTCCACCCTATTCATATGCTACTTTAAATTTCCTTCACATTTTATGTTGTAGATGCTTTGAAATGCATGGTCTGAAAGTGCGTGGAAAACAAGTGAATTTTAAAACGAAATAGAGTAAAGTCCACAAAATTTCAATATGTATTTTCTTTTGTTATTCAGTTTAGCTTCCTTGTTTTTTTTGTTTTGACCTTATGTTTGGTAGGTTTTCTTTAGTGGTGATTTGATTTTTGTTGCTTTTATAGTTTCTTGTTGATTTGACTGTAGACCCCACCTTATAACCTTACTGCAAATCTTGTTAAAAAAAAACCAGAGATTTGTAAAATGTTTTTGGATGGGTCCATCTGCAATGTTGAAGCTTAAGCTTGCGTTTCTTAAGGATAAGGACAAGTAAACTGAATAGTCCTAGGAAGTAAGTTAGATGAGGACAATCCCAACAAGTCGAATGGTTTATTCCCTTATCATGGCACCAAAAGAAATCTTTATCAAAAATGCGTATGGCTTAATAAAACCTGAAATGACTACTGCATTTACCTACCGACCTTAATTTGTATTATTCTTTAAGAGGTTCAGATTCAATAATTGTTGACATTAGGAAAAGGTTGGAATAGGAACATAATCCATAGAATAATCATGCTTAGTCACTTCAGGAATCTGATTTTGGAAGATTTTTCTCAATGTTCCTTGTCATGTACGGATGTACGTTACATGATGTAAAGAATTCAGTTTAATGCTAATTTGTGTTTCTCCATGCTTGACGTAAATTCAGATTGAACTTATTTTGAAGGCTATGGAATTTGGGACTCACAACATTTCGAAGAGTTATAATTTTCAGCACTATACAATTAAAATGGTGGGTAGTATAGTTTCTTCATTATGCAAATATTGACTATGAATATTGACAATAATGCACCTTTTACATGGGTTGTAACTAAAAAAAAAAAAAAGACAAAAGGGAAAAAAGAGCAAGAAAAGGAGGGAAAAAAAAAAGATCCCTGAGTTTATTGCAAATCTAAAAATAAAAATTAGATTTTGAATATCTTGTAGATTCATGATTGTATTAACACAATCAGCTTTCCAGGATGCTAAGGGCCATATTAGTCTAGGGACAACTACCCTCTTAACAAGTAAGTATTTTGCAGGAAGGGAATATGCTTCTTCAGATTGATTTATTTGATGGTACATTTATACGGACGGAAAGCAACAGTCCATCATGCAACAGATTCTAATCTTTTCTCATCCATGAAGCCAGGATGCAAGGTCAGTTCTTGGCATCACATAGATTTTATTTTATGCTCTCTTATAAGATATCTATTAATGTTTGCAACTTGCTATAATTGATGATGTTGGATTATGTGTGCTTTAGCTAACTTTCCTGATGCCCAAAGGAGAAAGTTCCTGTAGATTAAATCAAAACCTGAGAAAATAATATTATCTCAATGTTAACATGATGGTATAATGATATTTTCCTCTTAAATATTCTATGTGCAAGTGTGCAACTGCATGCCACAAAATTGTGACTTACTGCAAATTATATTCTTAAGTCTGATGTGGCAACTTGATGTACTGTGAAGGAAATCATTCCGTTTTGCATCTTTGTTGGTGGTTTCTTTTCCTTTTTTAATCTGAGGTTCGTCATTCATTTGATCCTCACTCTTTACCAAAGCTTATTAGATTTTATCGAACGCTTTGGATTGTAGCTAGCTTGTCTTTTATGATCATAACCTCATTTTGGCTTTTCATACTCATCTACAGATTATTTGCATTCTGCCTACATTAATTTGGATCAGGAATTCAGGATACATGTCAAGACTTAGGTAGGTGACTCTGGAAAATACACATGTTTTTGGTTGCAACTGGAATATCATGCGTCATTAATTGTAATGTCACTGTCTTATACAAAGTATAATGTTTGCTTACATAGTGTAGAAATAGAATTTATAATTAAAGTTTTATTAATAAACAGGAATTTTAGAAATTCAATTACCAAAGAAAAGAAGCTTTTTTCTTTTTTTTAAACATATACGAAAACTTTTAACTGCTCTGGAGTGACTAGCTCTTCAAAAAGATTTATGACTAGAATTTTGATGCTCAGAAAAGTCAGAAGTAACAAGAGAAACAATGTTACATTGAATTGTAGAAAAGTTTTCGTTTTAAATGTTGTAGGTAGGTCCTTTCATCAAAATCACTGAAAGACTAATATGGAAATGCAATAAATAAAACAATATCCATCCCCCCCCCCCCCAGATTAACCCTCTGAAAACCATTTTTGGTTAACATGGAATACTGGTGTCTTAGTCATGTACAAAAAGCCTGGTGTTTGGCTGAACATTAGTCTAATTTTAACTTAAGGCAAGTCCTTCATAATTTCTACACCACTTCACCTGAAAATATTCTGTTCCAAAGATGAGGTTCCTATTAAATTGACTAAATACCTACTAAGTATCTCTGTATGTAGAAGCAGTCGAGTCAGGATAGCATAACATTTGTATTTCTACTGTTAATATATTATCAGATAAAGAAGTAGAACCAAAAGGCTTTAATACGAAGAGTAACAATCCTAATAAAAAAACAGAAATATAACTTAAAAATATTTTTTACAAGCACTTAGGGAATCCAGTTATTTGTGTACATGAATAATCATCATTTACACTTAAAAAATAACTTCAAATATTGATTTTTCTACTCTTGGTGCTCCAAGGTAGTTATTGCTTCATCCATGTTTAGTATATTTGCAAGACTATTCTCTAGTGTCATTTTTATGTATATTTGTCTCCAAACTGGGACTGCTCCACTATAATATTTTGTACAACTCAAAAGTTTGACATATGATGCTGGATATTTATGATCAACTGAGGCAATGTGAAATATTACATTAATGTGGAAGGTTTAAAGAAGTTTTTGTGAAAATAGATACTCATTACTTGAATATTTTGATTACACCACGTAATGTAGCCAGCTGCTTACACTAGGGGCTAATGTATATACCCTTCCATCTAATCATTAAAAAGATAGATAGAAGGGGATCAAAACGAAGAATATACATCCCTAGTTACAATTTAAAATTAAAGCAACAACCAAAAAAAAAAACTGAAAATTATGGATTTATAGTTTTCTTGCTAGATGTAAGTTCTTTTTTCTAAACCCATAAAGCTCCTGCCTCCTTAAGCATTGGCACAAGTCTTCCTTGAACCTGCAGACTAATAATTTCTTTAGCTCCACCAACTAATTTTTGTCCTATAAAAACAGCAGGTACACTTGGCTTAACCCCTAGTCTTTGGAGAGCTTTATCTACCTCTTGTCCATTGGACATGTTATCCAGTTCATAGATTGTTGCATTTGCTCCATAGCTGCTTATGAGTTGCATCACTGAGTGGCTTATGCAACAAGAACTCTTTGTAAAGATTACCAAAGGCTTTTCTTCAACCAATCTGTTCACTACATCCATTGCTTGTAAATTACCAAGAATTTTGTAACCTTAGGTTTTGGGAGGTGAAAATGGCTCTTTTGTTGTTGTTGTTGTTGTTGTTGTTGTGTTTTTTTATTTTTCTTTGTGAAATTGCTGGAATTAAAAAAGAACCTGGTAGATGAAGACTGAATGTAGTATTGTGAGAAGGATTCACAGTTGGATGTCTTGCTTTTGTTGTAAGTAAGAGCTATCATTCCATCTATTTATAGTTCAACTAGGTCACTTCATTATACCTTTTTTTAAACTTATTTGATAAAGTGGTTAAAAGTTGTGGAAGAAATGGTGCTCGATGAGATTCCTTTTATTCCAAAACTCGTTTCTGCTGAGTACCTAGTTATTTCTGGAGTTCTGTAGAAAATGAGATATGCCGACGTTCCTAGATGGAATCTTCAGTTTTGGAGCTGCTGATAGTAGAAACAAATTGATGCTCAAAGGTGTCAAATAGAATATAAGAGGGTTCTATTTTATTTTTTTTTATTTTTTTTCAGTAAAGATTGGAAAAATTCAATATGTTGATTGACCGTACATGATGTAGAACCATGTCTGGGTTCAAAGTATGATGAACTTTTTTACATCGCAAGACAAGATTCTCCATTAGCGAGAGCTGCTATTATTGGATAAGGCATCAAGGACTAGTAATGAGCTTTAACTTTGGATTGTTTTCTTAGATATAAGTGGGCATGTTGAATTGCAAACATTGTTGTCATGGTTTGTTAAATAGCACTTTCTCCTGCTGAAATATAATCCATAGTATCATTCGGATACAGTGTATTATTACTTTGTGTTCATTAGTTAACATAATTCGGGACTAATGTAGTTATAAATTTCAGAGTAGCCACAGGATTTTATTTTCTTTGAACACTCAAGGGCAGCGGTCAATGTCTGTTGAAAAGGAAGAGCAACCGTAGTTTAATAAAAAATGTGAGCTGAAAGAACTTCACTAGTCCTTCAGGAATCTAATTACTGTACAGTCTGTTTTGAACTTGAAGTGTTTGTTTATTTTACTTCCATGACATACTGCATTTAAAATTTATTATTGAAGATAATCACATTTTGCATAAAAAAATCTATTGTCATTATAAAACATAGTCTCTTAATGCTGAAAAACATGTAATGCAAGGCAGAAACTTTTATTAGACAAGGATTTCATGAGTCTATTGTGTAAACTGACTGTCAATTTAGTTTATTCTGGATCATGTAGGACAGGGTGCGAAAGTGTATATGGTGCACTGGGGGAAGTAATAAGGGATGCAAGCTAAAGGTTGATTATTCACAGTACATAAATGTGTTGAATAAGGTTCTCTTGCCTTTATATTTGTCGATTTCTGCCTCTTCTTTGCAATACATAACGTGGAGCTCTATATGCACATACATTGCAGCTGTACAAGTTGAATTGTACTTGGGTACATAGCATAAAGGAGTGATTGTGATAACCTTGTTAACCAAGAACCCTCTGTTTATGTAATTGGGATTAGATACTATCACTTTCTAACACAATAGAAAAAATCTTCGCAGTCACTCATTAATGAGTGAAATTTTCACAGGAAGAAGGGGCTGTAACCTTTTCTGATCAGTCATAATTATCCTGATTTTCCATGATAATATTCTATATACTTAGCAATTAATATTCTTCAATATCATTTTGCATTCATAATGGTGTCACTATATAAAAAAATCTATGTTACTATGCTAAGGGTTAAAGGATAGGATTGTTGGTGGTTAAGAGAAACTAAAAAACAAATGTGAATATTGAAAAGTTTTCTGTTCATTGATTGTCTATTATGCCACGACAGCCAAGAGTATGAAGGATTCAAGCAGCTATTCTTTTGCTTTAGGTGGAAACGGGGTGGAAAATTCATAACCTTGGCATTGAGGTATGAATTCTAGCATCTTAATTGATTCCTGACAGCTTTTCATTAAAAAAAAAAAAAAAAAAAAAAAAAAAGGTTCCATTCATATTCTTTTGATAAGCAGAATTTCAGAAACAATATAACCTCTGGTTTCAAAAGACAGCCCTACGAGAAGCCAATGGCCAATTCAGTTGGCAACCTTTCTATAAGGATCTAGGGCAATCTACCCTTATCAATGAACTGAGGCCTGAAGGGATAAATACATGCTTGTGTCAGAGGAATAAAATCAGCTGTACTTCAAGTACATCTGGAATATCAGCTTTGGGTCACTTCCCTCCCTTATTTGTTATTTGTCGTAAACTACAATGCAGGTAAGAGATTGCTGCTCTGATATCTAAAATCAGTTACGTACCCTGAGATTCCTCCTTTTCCTTTCTTTCACTTTGTTTTCTGAATGAGAAAAATGTTATTATTTTATGTTATCTAGATAGTTTTATACAGTGCATGAGGCAACTTGATATAGCTAGTCGTGTTTCCTTGACATGCCTCAAATTCCAATAGTCGTGTTTCCTTGACATGCCTCAAATTCCAATAGTCAATTTCCTGGTTTTTCACCACTTGATCTTCTGACCTTCCTAGGTGTTGGTTTGGAGGATTATATAGGTCCACTTCTTTAGAATATTGTTTAGATTTGGTTGATTTATAAATTTGGAAGGTGTTGCTACTGGACTGTGCTGATTACGTACCTCTCTTCTATAATTAAATATGCTTGATTATACAAGATAAATTGATTCTTGAGTACATTACAAGTGAACCGTGAATTACACTGACATAATATTGTTTTAACTGACCTCCGCAATTTAGATGGTGGACCAAGATTCACAATGAGCACTATGCACCCAAAGAACACAAAAGATTGTAAAGAACATGACATTATGATAAAAGAGCATGAAATATGATTTCTGTTTGTAGCTAAAATAGTAAATGAGTATATATATGCTGTTCTTCTATCACAATGACACGTTCTTTAACATATGCACATTTGCACTTTGGGCGCAAAATGAGGAATGTGTGCTCTTGCTATAGTAGACATAACTTCCCAAACCTGTTTTCTGGTGGACATAAGTTTTTTGTTTAATATAAAAGACATTAATATTTTCTCTGTATAATTCATACAGTATTGTTCTATATTAGTTTTTTCTCAATATAATGATCACAATGATGAACCTTGGAAATTTCCACTATATCTCTCTCAAGTCCCTCCTTATTTACTTCCATCACTGCATTGTCTCAAGTCCCAAGCATGCGCTGTTTTGAATTTTTACACTATTAATTTATTAACTTAGACTATATATTTCACAAATATATAAAAATTTAATAATTATATGTAAACTATTGTTGGATTGATTTCAATGTATATTTTCAAAAATACGAGTATAATTTTTCTATCATATTATAGTAATGTATATGTACAAAAATAAATAGTCAAAGGTGTGGTTTGACAAAGTTGAAAAGTCAAAACATTGCATCTATTGTAAAATTGAGGTACATCTTAATAATGTCATGTTCTCTTTACCTTATTTTTGCTATAATCATTTATTTTTATTGAAATTAGATTATTTTTGCTAAATGTGAACTATTTTTTACTGAACTTACATTAGTTTTACTTATTAAAACTTATTTTTACTGATCTCTATTATATTTATTCTTAAAAGTTACTAATTTTTACTAATTATAATGAATTTTTTTTTTATTAAACTTAACTCATTTTTATTGAAATGAAATTATTTTTATAGAATTTATATTAGTTTTACCAAATATTATTTAAATAAGATGTAGAGAATAGGGCCTTAATGCAGATTGTGAAAGTTTTGATGCTAAGAAATACTCATCTTTGATCTTAAATTTCCCAATATATTCTTAAAGAAACCTTCTCATATCAGTAGCTTTGATATTTGATTTATGGTTAAAGTAAAGTATTGTTTTAAGATCTATTTTTTTTGCTTTTATTTCAATGTAGGCTATTCGTGCTCTTGGTGCTTTAATTTTATACAGCTATGTCCTTGTATAGACTTTTGCTCCAAACTTGATCAGGTATTACTGCTCTACTGGTCTGTAATTTTGTATGACGACTGAATTTGATCATATTTATGTCTTTATGATGAATTTATAAATAACTAAAATCACACTAGATAATACATAATTCTGGGGGTTATACAAGTGTTTATGGGAATTGATACTTCAATTACTCGAAATTTATTTACACAACAAAATGTAGGCTGCTGCTTACACTAGTAGTTATGTATGAAAAGTAAAACACCCTTCCCTCCTATTCAGAAAAATGTAGATGAAAGGGAATCAAAATGAAGAATCTAGATCCTTTTAAGTTGAACATCTGAAAATTTTGATATTATAGTTTTCTTGCTACACATAAACTAGTTTATTCTAAACCCATAAAGCTCCTGCCTCCTTCAGCATTGGCACAAGTCTTCCTTGAACTTGCAGGCTAATAATCTCATTAGCTCCACCAACTAACTTCTGGCCTATGAAAATAGCTGGAACACTTGGCCTTAGCCCTAGTCTTTGGAGTGCTTTTTCAACTTCTTGCCCATTGGACATGTTGTCTAGCTCATATATTGTTGTGTTTGCTCCATAACCGCTTATGAGTTGCATTACTGAGTGGCTTATGCAGCAAGAACTCTTGGTGAAGATTACCAAAGGCTTCTGTTCCACTAATTTGTTCACAGCATCCATTGCTTGTTAGGTAGAGTATTTGTAATTTTAGCTTTTGGGAAGTGTGAAGGACTTTTTTTCTTTCTTTGTGAAGCTTCTTGATAAAAAAAAACAAGCAGACTCTAGGGATTGAATGTGATGTTGTGATCAAGTTTTAGGATTAGAATTCTTGCTTCTGCGGTGAATAAAAATGAGCTACTAGACCATCTATTTATAGGCTAACTTGGTTATAGTGGATGTTACTTTTTCTCTGATTACATACTCAAAAGTTGTGGATGAAATCGTACTCAGTAGTAATCTTTTTTATTCTTTAATATCTCCTTTCTCAATGTTGACAATGACCGTGGTCTTCTATCTCTTTGAGAAGGAATCTTCTTTTTGTTATCGAACTAACAGTGCTTACTTTTTTCTATTGAAGAACTTGAGCTGATGATGATAGAAACTACTTGATGCTAAACGGGATCACATATAATATAATGAGGGTTTTAATATCCTTTTCATAAATCACTATGGTAATTAACCATACATAGTGCAAAATTTTTATGGACTCTTACTATCTGCACTACACCTACGAGCTTCCACAAAAGCAATAATCAGGGATTGTGAACTCAATGATTTTACTATTTTGCCTATTTCTCTTTATTATTATAGGGCCTATTGAATTGCAATTATAGACCTTCCTAATTTATTAATATGCATTCTCTTCTACAGAAATTCATTACATAAAAATAAAAAAAAATAAAAAAAAAAATGTATCAGCCTTCTAGTGAATCGAACAGTTTTAGTGAAATGGGATGGAAAACCGTTTTTAACTTGCAAAATTAAAGTGCAGAGGGAATGGCTCAACAATTTGTCTGTGTCTTTGGCATGAAGTTTTTTACCAGCAAGCTTCCTGGCTGCAGATCATTGACCTGTTATCACAGTCTGCACAAATTTCAATTGCTTGCCAAAAGTGCAATTAGCATGAAATAGAGTTGCATACTTGCCTGATTGCATCTCTTTTGGATTCATAGGGTGCTTAGTAAAGGAGAAATGATAATTCAAAACAGAAACAACTAAAACTCTTATATTTTAGTGTCAAATTGAGTCTTTAAACTAGTTGTAAATGTTATTCTATTTTCATGTTAAAAAATCTAAAACAGTCTAAGTGCAACAGTCGATGTGTCTTGTCAAGGAATTGTGAACTTGATTCTTTTGAGAATGCAGGATGAAAGTACCGCATAAGCTCTTCCAAAATCTTATTATCATGTATGACGTTCAAAACGATATATTGCATTCTTTATGTGTGGCACATAACATATACTGTTGTTTTTTTTAAAGCTAACTACATTTAATAATGCTAAACAAAATTCTTTGCTAGTTTTTTTTTTCTTGTTTGAATGTTAAAGAAAATGTTATGCTTTTGTCAATGTGCAGGGTAGAAACAATTTATTAAAATAAGGATATAATGAGGATGTAGTGTGAAAGGAATGTCACCCATAGGTTATTCTAGATCATGCTGGACAATTCACAAAAGAGTATGAGGCACGGTGCAGAAAGAAACAAAGGGATGCAAGGTCAGGTTCTCTTGGCATCCTATTATCGTTTGTACAATAAATGATGCGGTGCTGCTTTTGGCAGAAATGATATCAGCAGGACAACTTGAATTGTACTTGGGTACGTACTATTAACGAGTGATTGAGATAGCTTCGTATATCTTGACCTCTCTTTTGATATGAGTGTAATTGGGATTATAAACTATCAATTTCTCACACTATGGAATTTATATATTCTGTCATAGGATTATGGGGCTGCAATCTTTAATTTATCTGAAATCTGATTATATCTTCACTTTTTCTGATCTATCATCATATATATGCCATCCATAATGGTGTCATGATAAAAAAAAATCAATGTAATTTTTTTTAATTTTTTTGAAATATGTCTCCAGGGTTAAAGGGTAGCATGACTGTTTAAATGTTAAATTCAAAAGATCAAATTCAAATTGATTGGTTCATTACATAGTATATTTATGTGCTCTTTTGTCAGCCACGTACATGTGAAATTCATACAGCTATGCTTCTGGTGGTTGAGATGTGGAAAATTCATAGCCTTAGCATTAAGGTCTGCAGACTGGCTTCTTATTTGATTCCCGTCAGCTTTATCTTAATAGAAAGTTTCCATTCTGGTTTTACAATACCATATTCTATTGTTAAGAAGAGTTTTGGAAGAAGATGATCTCTGATTTTAAAAGGTAGCCCTACAAGGCTACGAGAAGCCAATGGACAACTTTCTGGAAGAATCTTGGAAAATCTTCCCTGATCAAGAAACTTGGGGGGGGGGGGGGGAAGGACATGCCTATGTCAGAGGAATAATCAGCGGTACTTCAAGTACATCTGGAATATCTGATTTGAGTCTGATGTCTAAAATCAGTTATGTACATTGAACATCTACCTTTTCTTTTCAGTTTTTCAGAAGTAGTGCTGTTTATGTTATCCTTATCAGATTTATGCATTGACTTAAGGTTACTTGACATAGCTACTCGTGTTTTGTTGACATGCCTTAATAGTTAATATTCCTAGTTTTTCATCATTTAGTTATATGATAGTACTTGTGCCTAGTTTGCAGGATTATAAAGTCCATACTCTAGGAATATAATTTAGTTTATTTAAAATTTGATTAAAGTGTTTCTACTGGACTTGCAAATTACATACCGCCCTCTAAGTAAACTTGCTTGATTGTACAATTTCTGATAAATATTATTGAGTATGATACAGGTGTAGCATGAATTGCATTGTACTATCTGACAGTCTGCTCTCAAACATATAAAAAAAATCATATGAATCCATATATAAAGGGTCACAATATGTTGCTCTTCCTAGATTTCCTATCTTATTTTCTGGTGGAAATTTCCTTGCATGTATTCATCAATGACTTGGTAGTATTGTGTATCACAATTATCAAAATGGGCTATCCTAGATTCACTTATGAATTTGTTGGATTGCTCTCCTTCCTTGTTTGATTCTTCAAGGGCAAGGTCTCAACTATCAAGTCATAAGCATCAAAGTCATTGATTGTAATTTTACGTAATTCTCTTATTCAATGTGGTTTGTGACATTTAAGGTTTATTAGAAAACTTACCATAGGTCATCCGGTTCTAGATTTATCCTTTTAGAGGCCATCTCACTTCACTAGCTTTGATACAAAATGACATGTTTTGGCTTATGTATAGTAGATGTTGGTGCTTTAGAACCTGCGTAATTTTGTTAGGAATATTTCTAATGTTGCAGGCTTGTTTCCTTTTCTTTATCTCTTGTACTCTGGGTGCTTCAAGTTTTAATGTCTGTTTGCAGATTATTATTTTCTAGACCATGTTTTGGTGCCATCTTGTAGTCATTTTTGGCTCCCAACTGTGGTCTACTTTTCACTGCTCTACTACTGTTAATATATCATGGAAACTCAGCTAACTGAAGATGCTGAAGTTTATAAAAAAATAAAAATAAAAGTAAAAAAATATATAAAGGGAACAATAATAATACATCAATGTGAAGGATTTGTAGTAATTTAGTGGAATACATACTTCATTAGTTGATCTTCAAAAACATTATACAATATATGATTCATGTAAACACCTATTCATCCAATTATGTAAAAGATGGATGAAGGAATTAAAAAGAAGCTAGTTCTTTCTTAGTTACAAGTTTTGAAATTATAGTAGTATCTAAAAGACAAATTTAGAATAGTGGAATTTTACGTAATCAATGTTATTCTAAACCCATAAAGCTCCTGCCTCCTTGAGCATTGGCACAAGTCTTCCTTGAACCTGCAGGCTAATAATCTCTTTAGCTCCACCAACTAACTTTTGGCCTATGAAAACAGCAGGAACACTTGGCCGAAGCCCTAGTCTTTGAAGCGCTTTATCTACTTCTTGCCCATTGGACATGTTATCCAGTTCATAGACTTCTGCATTTGCTCCATAACTACTGATGAGCTGCATCACTGAGTGGCTTATGCAACAAGAGCTTTTGGTATAGATTACCAAAGGCTTCTGTTCCACCAATCGGTTTACAACATCCATTGCTTGTAAATTAGCTAGAATATTTGCTGTTCTAGATTTTGAGAGGATGGAAGGGCTGTATTCAGAATACAAAGTACAAAAAAGACTGAGGCAGATGAGGAATGAATGTGGTATTGTGTTCAGGTTCAAAGAATGGATTTCTTGCTTATGGTGTGAGCAAATTAGAACTATCATGCCATCTATTTATAGCCCAACATGGTCAGTGCATGATACCTCTTTTTCTGATTATATTCTCATAAGTCATGCAAGAAATGAGACTATGGGAATCCTTTTATTCTAGAATTCTCTGCTCTCAGTGTTGACAATGACCACGGTTCTACTAAACACCTATTTTTCTAGAGTTCTACAGAAGCAAATAGATACGTTGAAATTTTTAAGAAGGAATCTCTATTCTGTTACCGGACTATCAGTGTTTATATCTTTTCTACTGAAGAACTTGAAGGAGTTGCTGATGGTAGCAACATCTTGATGCTCCTTAGAATTGTTCTGTGTCTAAATCTTTGTTACAATTTCCTGACCAGAAAGCTGGTTGGCTGCAGAATGACCTGATGGAATATAATGTACCAATTTTCACCTATCTGCCAAAAGTACAGGAAACATAGCATGAATGATCTCGGGACACTTGCTTAATTGAACTATGTTGAGTTCATATGGTGCTTGGTAAAGGATAAATGATGAATTCTAGGGAATCAAGTAGCTCCTTAATGTATTTGAAGTTGGAACTAATGATTTTAATCTGTCTTTTTTGAGTTGATTTTTAATCTTCTGTTTGTGTATATTCAGGATAGCAAACTTTTTAACAGTCAATTCATGGAAGTAAATTTTCATGGCAAGGAAGTGTTAACAATGCGCAATGAAAGCACTGCGTAAGTTCTTCATCCAAATATTTTGTCTCGTCTCTTCTGTATTAAAAGCGAAGTGTTTACATTTTGTCACATAAGCTAATAAAATTTCACACAAGAGTTGCTGTCATAACAGTCAGGTAATGACATTTTCTTTTTTAAATGTTGAAAACATGTCAAGATTTCATCATATGCAGATTAAGAACATTAGTCTTATATAATTAAAATCTCCTGATATTACTGTGATTAACAAATGACTGAATTAAACATTGTCAACGGCTGACTGGGCTGCAACTTTTTCTTCGCTTGAAGTCCTAATTACATCTTGATTAATCATTACCATGATTATAATTTTAGACCTTGCAATCAACATGCTTCAGTATCTATCAGCATCTATTTTGGTAAGCCTGTATACTAGGGTTAAGGGTAGCATGACTAGAAACTTTGCTTAATCTGTGAATTCATCAGTAAACGCGTTACATGTCTGGAAGAACTTCCTATGACACAATTTGTTTACTTGTACATTGCATCAGTGCCTTTGAAACTGGGACCAAACTGAAACACAGATTTGTGTGTGTCTCTGAGCCATACAAGAATAAATGGTACTTTTTTTGTAGTAATGGTACATCTGTTGTTTTACCATGTACTTCTGTTTAATGCCTTTCCTTTGGCTCCCATAAATCACTAGCTAGGATATCTTCAAAGAAAAATTTCCACAACTCATATTCACCTTATTTTCACTTATCTCAGGAAAAACAAGTTTAAAGTCAAGATAAATAAGTTCTGCATGTTCAATATACAATTAAAATAAGCTCTGACAAAGTAATAAGTTTTGATAGGTTATACTTTCAGATAAGATCATATAAGGTGAATAGAACCTACCCTAATCCTATCAAAACAAGACTTTGGGAGGGTGGTGGTGGTGAGGTGGTCAACGGGTAAAGGTGGTTGTTGACAATTTTTTTTTGAAAATCAGGATCTTTTAACAAAAAATAAAAATTATAAGGTGGTTTGTGACAAAATTTGTGTTTTATAAGGTGATTTGTGACATATTTTCCTACATAGTATGAATTGTTAAAACTAAAGATGTATTGTTTCATATATGCATGTATCACTATTGATAGATTTGAATCAACATTAGGGTTTTGGATTGAAAAAAAAAAAAGCAAAGAAGTTTAAATTTTAGATATATTTAAAAAATATCTTTAATTGGAGTTTTGATTAACAAAAGTATGGATTGAAGTATTTAAAATGAGTTTTAATGAGGTAAAATGGATGTAATTAGGGTTAAATAGTTTTGTTGGATGTGAACATGCAATGTTGGAATCCGTTAAAAGGTAGTGATATTAAAACAAATCAAAGTATGGCTTTTTTTTTTTTTTTTTTTGAGGGGAATCAAAGTACGATAGTCATTTACAAAGTTTAATGTCAGGTAATTATTTGCAAAAGTTAAAACTATAAAGTTAGTTTAACAAAAATTTCTAAAGGATGAAATGAGATTTAATGAGAAAATTAAGGGTTCTACGACTTCTACCTAATATAGCTGGGATGTTAATAAGAAGTTTTACGGTTCAAGTTAAAAAATTAGCTAATGAAATCTGTTGGCAAGTTAAGCAGTTACCCTGAGTTTTTGGTAGTTAAAGTTAGAAGGTGGACCTAGACTACACAAAGTCAGTAAAGTTTCATATTTCACTCAATCTAGAAAAAAATCTACAAAAGTGGCACTAAATCTAGAAAAAAATCTACAAAAGTGGCCAAGGTTTTGCTACTTGTGCAAAGAATTTTAGCATATATATCTAGTAGCACAGAATTGCACGCTTTTTGTATAATGTTTAGCATAGATCTTTACCTTCATTCGGAAAAAAAGTGTTTAGGTCCAATTTGCTCCAATTGGGCCGATCCACAAATGATTCAATTACAAAGCCCAAAAGAAGGTTCAACTCTCCTAATACATGCTAAGTCAGTCAAAGGCCCGGTCAACATGGCAAGCTCATTTAACCTCAAGGCCCAATTTATCCATTTGAGTAAGGTATAAAAGCCTTGACTTCTCTCTCTCCATTCATTCACTTCAAGCATCAAGCATTAACTCTCTTGCATAGCTTTCTCTCTCTAAACATTGTATTGACTTTGGCATCGGAGGGGCCTTCCTCGGCACAACCTTCGAGGTCAGTTTACGTGTGTTCGCTGTGCAGGAAACCCTCGTCCCAGTCATCACCTGGGTCGAGTCCAGTCTTCATCCCACTGGAAAGGTCCAGACGAAAGACCCATTGTTATCACACGAAACAATTTGGCGCTGTCTGTGGGGAAGACATTCAAAAACAAGCCAAAAATCCACCATCTTAACAACATGGCTAAGTGCGGAAAGAGTGCCAAGAGCACCAAAAGGAATGGTCCTTCTTCCTCGAAGAAAATCCCAATTCCATCTTCACCCTCGAAGAAGGGACCACCTTCTTCATCATCTTCCGAGGTTACCTCATCGCGGAATGTTGCCTCGGACAGGTCACCTCGCAACACGGGTCAGCCGTCCAACTCTTGGCGACCGAGCCAGTCAAACGCTAGGAGTCCAACTCCTAGCCGCCATTCCCAATCTCGTCCAATGGGGACGCCCCAAACGGATTCCACTTCGGAGGAAATGGCAAGAGCCCTCGCCACCTTCTTGGACTTCATGAAGGCTCAAGCGAATCATCATCTCCCACCTCCTGCTCCCTCGGTGCATACTGACACCATCAACCAAGGCACCTGAGAAGGAGAATCGCGCCTTAGGGAACCGCTCCTTACCCTACACCTTCGCTTCACCCACCCTTAGGGAACTGCGCCTTACCCTGCACCATCCCAACCGAGGACGAAAACCACTTCTACCTCTCTAAGAGGGGGAAGCGAGGTCCCATCGGCTGGTACAAGAGGAAAGTCGTGATGGTCCCCACCAGTTCCCTATTCCAGAGCTAGATTTTGGAAGAGCATGTGCCGATGGTCAAAATTCCGGCACACATCACATATGATGGTATTCGGATCCGAAGGACCACATCGCCTCTTACGAGGGGCACATGTACCTGAACCCCAGGTCCGAAGCGACCTGGTGCAAATACTTCCCAACCACTCTGAATGGTGTTGCACAAGCGTGGATCACTAAAGGAGTGAAGGAAGGTTCGATAACTGGTTGGAAGGACCATTCCAACAAGTTCAAAGGCAAGTTTGCCAAAACTGCAGAGACAAAACAACCGCGAAACTGATGAGTCTACAACAAGAGGAGGACGAAAGCCTCCGAGACTATCTGACTCACTTCAGCTACGAGTCGTCCAGAATCACAAGTCTGAACCAAGGGCTAGCCGTTTTCGCGCTACGGAACGAGCTGCAAGCTGGAAAGTTCCTCGACTTCATGGTCATGCACACCCCACAGACCCTGGAGGAACTCTTGATGCTTCAAATAAGTACATCCGAGCTGAAGAGTGGAACAAAACCAAGTCCCAATCTTAAAATGGGACTGGTAAGGCAAAAGGACAACAGTCCGAAGGTCGGGCCAGAGGAAAGGGAAGGCAAAAGCCTCAGAACCGTCCTCGGCAACTAAGCCAAAAATGAAAAAACCCCATTCGTATGGAAATACGAATCTTACACTCCTCTCGCTCTTCCGCGTGCTAAAGTTTACAGCATAACGAAGAACGAGGAGAAGTGGAAGAAGCCGAGGCCACTTCCATTGTGGCATCAAAATAAAAATAAAGACCGATGGTGTGAGTTCCATGAGTCTCCTGGACATCAAACTGAGGACTATATATAGCTGAGAGATTAGATCGAGGATATGGTGCGAAAGGGCTACCTAAAAAAATATCTCGCGGATCGCCGCGAAGACAAAAAAACCGAGGAAAACTCTCGACTGCAACTGGTCTTCAACCGGAAAAAAGACAAGCCGACAGATAAAGCGCATCCTAACATCCATGTCATTTCTCGGGGGACGAGCTCCCGAAATGCTCGAAAGCGCCACTTGAGGGGTCTGACCCATCAAGTCAACCATGCCTCCATCCGAGGTCCACAATCTCCGGTGCCGAATATTACGTTCACAGTTGAAGACTGCCAAGGGGTGGCATACCCCCATGATGATCTGCTAGTAATCATCACGGGGATCGCTAACCGCAACGTCTGGCGAACCCTCATCAACGGTGGCAGCGGAGCAAACATCCTGTTTCGGGATGCTTTCAACCAGCTGGAGCTGCAGTCTAAGGACCTAAGTCCAGTACCCTACCCGGTATTTGGACTTAACGGTTCTGCGACATATTCGGATGGGAAAATCACACTTCCCGT